AAAAAAAAAGGTATTAAAATCAGATTTAACATATAAAAATAACCTGGTTCTAAGTTCTAAAACATGTTTTTATTATTAATTAATTTTTTTAATTTATTTAATTTATCAGAGTTTTTTAATTTTATCTAATTAAAAAATTTTAATTCATTTAACTTATTGGTTTTTTTCTAATTTATTTATTTAATTTATCAGTATTTAATTTATTTAACTAATTAGTTTTTTTTAAACTAAGAAAACAGAACAAAGACAACAGCAAGAATAGTGGATGAAAATAAAAAAAAATATAATAAGAATTAATATCAACAAAATAGAACAAAAACTAGAACAAAAACAGCATTAAAGAACAAAGTAACAAAATAGAAAAAGAAACAGAAAATAGAAGACAAAAACAAAAAATAATTCAAAGCTCTACTAACAAAAAAATTAGTAGAGACATGTTAATAAAAACTTGAAATACAAATTAAAAATAACTCAAATAAGAACAAAAAAAACTTGCTAAATGAATTTACTAAAAAATAATAAAGAATTTATAAAGAATCTACCAAAAAATAACAAAGAAAAAATCTAAATTCACCAAAAACTAATAAAGATTAATACCAAAATATAATAAATTTATCAAAAAAATAATAAAAACCTTAAACAAACCTATTGAAAACACTGAAGTATGAAAATAAACTTACTAAAAAATAATAAATTTACTGAAAAAACTTACAGAAAAATAAAAAATGACAAAAAAGAATACACAAAAGAACTTGTTAGAAAACTCTATTGAGAAATGATAAAAAATATCTATAAGAAGTAATAAAGAACCTATTATCAAAAAATAACAAACTTATCAAAAAAACTTACAAAAATGATGAAGAAAATATACCAAATATAAAGAGCTTAATAAAGATAAACCTACTAAATTACCAAAATAACAAGAAATCTACATAATTTTAAAACTCTAACTATAGCTCTAATTATAGTTCCAATTAAAACTTCAACTGTAGCTCCAACTATAACTCTAATGATAGCTCCAATAATAACTCAAACAATGGCTCTAATAATAATTTCATTAAAACTCCAGCAATGACTTTTAATAATAAGGGTGCTGATATTTATTAGGTAATATTTTAAGGGGTGGGGTAAAGCCAAACCTTATCTCAATATAATATTAAAATTTAATTGGTTAATAAAAATATTATCTGGTAGAGAGGAGTAGAGCTCTATAGTAAATGAATATTAGGTAATAAATATCAGAGCCCTAACTAAAAAAAATATTAACATTAGTAAAAAAACAAAGAAAAAAAATAAATAAAAATCTTATTTATATGATTGCTGTAATTGGCTGATCATATAAAAATCACTATAATAACAGATTACTATATAAATTTTTTATAATTAACTACACAAAATTTTTATTAAAGATATTTTGATGACTACTATATCAAATTCAATAAAAAATTTTTATTTGAATTTTACAGATCGATAAAATTCAAATAAAAAAATTTTTATTAAATTTGATACAGTAATCATCAAGGTATCTTTAACCAAAATTTGGGTAAATTTTTGATATAGTTACTATATAAGATCTTTGCTAGAAAAATAGCCTTCTAAGGCTAGGTTAATTTTATGAATAAAAATTAAATTTGTCAACTATCTAGATACCCAATTTGAATAAACTTTTTTTATTTTGTAAAGCTAAATAAGCTTTACAAAATAAAAGAAAGTTTATTTACATTGGATAACCAGATTGCCAGCATATTTAATTTCTATTTACTAAATCAGCATAGCCTTGGAAGGAAATTTTTTTAGCAAAGATCATATATAATAAAGTTTTAAAAATTCTAAAACTTTGATTGATAAAATCTTAGCAACCACTACACCAAATTCGATATAACTTTTTTATTTGAATTTACAGGTCTGTAGAATTCAAATAAAAAAATTTTCATTAGATTTGATACAATTGTTGTTTTATCGATCAAAGTTTTTATATTTTGTAAAATAAATTATTGGGTATAATTGTGCATGTGATTGCGATGTTTATCAATTATCTGGATCGTTAATATTACACAATATTTCAATAAAACATTTTTTTTTTATACAATGAAATTTTGGCAAAGGCAGAGCAAAATTAACTTAGAACGATAACCAAGTACCCGAAAAAAGGTATATATGTAAAAAAAAAAAATGATATTTTATCTATACGTATGTACGTACGTACATACGCATTAAATTAATTACTAATCAATTTGTAAATTAAAACATGCGAAATATCTAAAATACTACATGATTTTAAATAACCGCTATTTTATAATTGTAACACATGAAAATACTAGTTAGGATTTTCTTCAGGTTTAGTAGACGTGGGTTTTCTTGCAAGGGGTGAAAGTCTTTCAACACACCCATATTTTTGAAATTGTTTGAAATCACAAACATTTGAAACGACATTTTAGCCAGCGCAATTCATAAATATTAATTTATTAACTATTTCAGCCTTATGTTATGATATCAACCAGGATTTTTTTTTCTTAAGGGACTCGTGCAGAATATGGGATTGAAGATGAAAAGAATACATGCGATCGATAGAAGAGAAGGTGCGAATTGAGTGAATTTTCATGTTTAATTTTGATTATCACTTCAGATTATATATTCATCGATTCTTCAATGCTTATAGTAATATGTTCTTAAAATTCTTTTCATATTTTCGAGGTCAGATCGCCTACTTGATTGAACTAGCTTGTATAGTGGCAGGGATTGGGTAGATTTCGGCATAATTCTCGTACTTTTGATTGTTAACGCATGTATAGGATTCAAGCACGTGCAGAATCTGCGTTAGAAGTGCTAAAGCAGACTTTGGCGTTAAAAACGAAGGTTTGGCATGATGGAAAATTAGTCAACTTGGATACTACGAAATTGGTTCTGGGTGATGTTATTGCTTTGCGGATGGAAATATCATACTGGCTGATGCAAAATTATTGGGAATTAGTGCTTCTGGTTCAGAATCTTCAGAATACTTGATGGTGGATCAATCGGCATTGACTGGTACGTGTATTATTACTGTTTTTGTTTTTATTCCTTGGATGCTGCGAAAATTTTGGTTAATTGATATAATTTAACCACAGGTGAAAGTTTACCGGTACATCGCAACAAAGGAGATGTTGTATATTCAAGGTGATTACGCTATAAATGTTAATATTCAAATTTTCAACATATTTTCCATATAACTGACTTTCTATTATTATATGATTATACTATGATGATAGTTCTATAGTTAAGCAACAAATGTTGGCTATCATTGTCAAAAGTAAATAACAATCTAACGACAATTATAATCCTTTTAATTTATTGGTTTTCAACCTATTGTTTTTTTAACATTTAATTGTTTTAATTTTGTAAAAAGCTAGAAAAGATACATATATTGGACGTGCCGCTGCGCTTATGAACATGGCTGTGGATCAAGGCCATTTTCAAAAAATTGTTAATAAAATTGGCAATTTCTTGATTTTGATCATGATTACTTTTGTAATCATCATTTTATATATCAGGCGGTCAAATTTCAAAATACAAGTTCTGGTAATGTATTAGTAATTTTGCAACATATTCTGGTGTTGACGGTTGCAGCTATTCCGGTACATATTTTTTATTGCAACGAGTCTTTTTTTTTTTTTTTTAAAAAAAAAAAGAAATGTTTATTAAATAATTATGATTCATTTTTGTCTTGCTTTTATAAAGGTTAGTTTACCAACTGTTCTTTCCGTAACTATGGCTGGCAACTAGCAGCCAAAAAAGTAATTATTAGATGTTTAGCAGCTATTGAAGAATTGGCTTCTGTCTCTATTCTTTGTTCTGATAAAACTGGTACACTTACCCTTAACGAACTATCCACTAATGATTCATGGCTGGCTCCTTCCTATACGGAATCTAACCTTTTTTTGCATGCATATGTATGCTCTGACCCAGGCACAGATGATACTATAGAATTAGCTATTAGAGATACGGCAGAAAAAAAACTTGACATTTTAAAAAATCGTAAAAATGAATATGAAGTTCCTGGTTTCAAGGTTAAATCATTTGTTCCTTTTAATCCTTCAAAAAAATTATCACAAGTTACAGCAATAGACCTTGAAATGCAAAAAGAAATTCAAATAGCCAAAGGTGCACCACAAGTTATAGTACAACTTGCAGGTAGAATATCTTCGAACCTTGTGTAAAAAAGAAAAATATATTAGTGTATTACATTATTCTACAATTTTTAGCCAATCAAAATCTATGACCAAATCACTTAAATCACGTGTTAAAAATTGCCCAAATTTGATCAAA